TTATGGAAAAGCCTGCTACTTTCTTTGACATGGATGATCCTGTAAATCTTATGAAAGCTAAATATACTGTTGTGTACAAATTGAATATTATTTTTACAAGTGCAACCTAAAATGCTTAGAACACTGAAATTTAATAACTACTTATTTTGATTTGCCTTCAAAATAAGGTACGTTCCTAGCAATGTACAACTGGTGTTTAGGCTATCAAAGGAAACACTGTTCCACCTTTTAAAATCATTAGGGAAAAAATGTGTTTTTTTACTTCATTTATTTATACTTTATAACTTCATTACATTAAAGTTAGGAAAACATTTATCTGAAGTTGTTTGTCGTATTCATTGCAAAAAAGCTTGTATGATGTATTTTTTTGTGTTTCCTGGCAGTTTGTTAAAGGGTATTACCACTTCTTTAATACTACAAATTAAACATGCCTTTTAAAACATACTAAAGAACATGCAGTACAGTAAGCTACATGTAACTCAATGTTTAAATTAATATTAAGCTTTGATCCAGCACAATCCTGTGCAAACAATAAAGCTTTTACCTAGCCAAGTTAATTATTTTTCTCAACTGAATGTGCAAGGGGTCGGTCCAATGAACCAGCCCTGCATTGGAGAAATAATGATGAGTATAATTCTGAATTTACCATGTGTATTTTACAAGCTTTCAGTTAATAGTACGAGTCTGTTGTACACAAAAAATCAAATGTGTTAGTTATGTATCTTTACTAAATATATGTCTGTGAAATGCCAAAGTCAGTCTGACTGAGCCTTTAACAAGCTGATGTTCAAGTGAATAGTAAAAATACATTTGTCCATTGTACAGTTTGTAAATTATATTTGCATAACCTATTAAACCTCCTAAATTCATATCTAAAGTTTTTTCAGTATCTCTGTATGTTGTAGCTGGTATTTTCTCAATTCTATCACATACTGTTGCATAACGAATAGTGAAGAGTAACATGAAATGTTGATAACTTTGACATCAAATGCAAAACACCATGTTGAATAGCACTTTATACATGTTTGGAGCATGCATATTTTGACCCCTACTCATAAACACAGGGTTCAAGAACTTAAAACACCAACTGGCTTTGAACATTTGAAAGATACAATATATTATCACAAATTATTGGAAATTTTCTTTCTAAAACAACAGACAAATAATCCTATATTTTGTAACAAAATAATAATACATTACAACATCTCTGCTGTTATTGTTTGTACATACAAGACTTACAAGTGAAAGACAAATACCAGTATTTAATAAATCTACAGCCCTCCTTTGCCATTTGATTGCAAAGACATACTTAAACCAATAAACATACAAATATAAATAGCAAAAATCAGATTGTCAATCTAGATTTCACAGTGTATTATCATAGTAGTGATACTGAATAATATTTTACAGAATTTCTTTATCAAAAGAATGTGAATTGTTTCAAAGTATAATTTGCTTTCTTCTAAATTGAAAAGATACCAGAATAAGCATTCAAAACAAATTTTTCTGCTCTCTGTGTGTTTTATGAACTAACAGAACCATATAAATAAACCTTAAAAATGTGCACAATAAAAATCTATTTCAAGTTAAATACACCTCTTATCTGCGTGACACGATTTACAAACTCCTTAACGTACTTGCAAGTTGTATAAAACACATACAGTACAGTGCTACAACTGTACAACTCAATGTTACAGAAGACACAATAAATGTGCTGTACATGACTTAGCAAAACCAGAGGAATGAATAACCATATATGTACATGTACAAATAACTGTGATGAACAAGATCCTTCTGCTAATCAAGACAGTCCACCTTAAAACTACCTTTACTCATAAAAAGTGATTTACGTTTAATCAATTCATCACTCACTTAAATGAAACAGCAAAAACTGATTATTTAGTAAGAAATTCCATTCACAGGCTCATATCTACATATACATATAAGCAATGAACACATTATTAATGGCATTAAGTGAAAAACATAAAGAACAGTGCAGTATACTATAAAAACATAACTATTGTGACTAAATTACAATCTTACCTATAAATAAAAGAAAATTGCCTTTAACTTTATTACAGGTATCACAAGATATATATATATATATATATATATATATATATATACTACTACAGTGACGGAGGGACTAGTTGACGACGAC